TAATTTGCTTCTTGTAAGATTCAATGCGCTAGTTGGACACAGCTGCACTTGTTGGGCGCATTAAGAATGAACGCAAATTGGTCACCAAAATATCTTTAGAGAGGTAATTGCACAATCTTGAACCACTTCATGTGAGGCACAAATGGTGGATTCCGTTGTATATGCTTATCGCAAGAGGTACTGATAAGGCTTATGCTTGGAATCTAGAATTGCGCAGACTGTGGTTGTGTTTTTTAAAATCGATCACTTATTTGTTGTGAGATAATGTGATGTTGACACTATTATGGTTTGTGTCATAATGATTAGCAGATGATGATGTCAGCAGGCAAGATTGGCTCATTCACACGAGCAATCGCCCTTGGCGCTTAGGAGCGAGCAAGGAAGAGACTAGTGGTTTATTTTTTATTTGAAGCCAAGAGAGGCTTAAATTATCCACTATGCATGTCGCCTTGGTTACAACCAAGATGAGGTCGTGTTAAGGACCAAACATGGATGCTAGTACCTACTTTCCATGTTGTGCCTGTTATGATTAGCAAGATGCGAGATCTCATTTGACGCTTAGAAGGTGAGCAAATAGAGAATTCGGGTTAGGCGCTAGAAAGTGATTATACTAAGATCTGTACGGTATATTGAGTATGACGTCATTCTTTTGGAAAAGTTACTCCACTGTAACATGTATTCATATTATATGTGCTTGGCGACCGAGTAATGAGGTGAGAGAATGGATCCCTGTTTCCTCACCATGTGAGTCTTACATGTCATTATTGATATGACTTTTATTTATGTACCATTTTGTGACTTTTGACTATGTCATAAGGTAAGGGGTTGATGTTCTGCTACTTTGATATGTTGCCTGCGGTCACGTATGATTCGGCTTTAAGGGACATCACTGGGAAAGTGGCCAATCCTAAATTAAATGGCATGAAAGCAAAGGGAAGATCATCTAGTATTACACCATTGTTGTATATTCACTGCCAGCAACTCATATCGCTCTGTATGAGAGGCGGATTGAGTGTGAATATATTGCAAGAATTGAGAAGGTCAAACATGCTTTTTTTTTAGGGATTAGAGATGTTTTTTGGACCGGTGTAATTAGATGGGTCTAGGGTATATGAGACACTATTTCTGTTCTTTTTGGGTTGATGTCTCTATGCTGGCTTATTTTTAGTTTCTAGTATAGAGCACCCACATGCAGGTGTTCTCAGCAGTCGCACGGTGCAGTGGCTAGTATGAGATTGTTCATTTTTTGGGAGATTGAGATAGAGATGTGGCAGTGTCATGTCAACTCATGTCCGAGTGGGAGATGTTAGAAATTGGGCGCCCATGTGGCATAACCCTTTGAACCCTTTGAACCCTTTGAACCTTATCCATGTAAGTTTGAATTTGAATTCAAAACTTACTTGGATAACCACTCAGGATATTCATATCTATCATATCAACTGACATGGATAGATGAGATATTATCCTATATATCTAATATGATATGGGATATGAGTGATTAAGAGAAAAACAACGTATGTCTTATGTTTTTCCCATATACTGACTCTCTTCCAAAATACAACGATCAAGAGCCATTTTGCACTGTGACGTGTGTGAGTGATATTCATTCTGTAATATCACTCCATTGCTGGGTTGATTGATCAGATTCAGGAAGCACGTGATTTACTCACGAGATCCTTCAATTCAGACTTTGCAGAAAAATGTATTACTATAATTTTTCATCCGCTGCGTTTACCTTAGCTTTACGGAACGTTTTAAGAATATTCATTAATAAAATATTAAATGGTGCATATTTTTTTAATTATTTTTAACCATTCAATTAACGAGTATTCTAATAATATTAGTAAATAAAACATTGAATCGTATATATATCTCAACTTTTTTTTTTTGTCCTTTCACTATACAGTAATTTTTTTTTCACTTTCTTGTAATAAAAGAACTCTTAGTTTTTAATTTTCTTTTTTTTATTCTTTCTTCGTAAGTAATCATGATAATTAATTTAAAAAATGATTTTCCATAAAATACAAAATTGACGTTGCATCATTTTGAAGAAATTATTTATACAATAGAAAAGAGTAATATCTATGTGATTAACAAGTATGTTATGTCATCTTATATGACACTAATTATATAATTTAATTTGAATAAAAAAAATTATATTATTAAATTAATAAGTCTTGTACAATTAATATCGTGCTTGGATCTTAAATTTGAATACAATTTAAAAAGAAAAGAGTAAATATTAAAAATATATGAATGAAATATAAGTTAATTTTTTTAAATTTGACTTTTCTTTTTCAAATTCATCATCTAAATATAAGGTAATATTTTATATATAAAAGTAAGATTCATAAATAATGTAATTACTGCAATATAAAAATAAAGGACAAATTACATATACCTCCCTTGAGGTTTGGCTAAATTACAGATACCCCTGAGGTTTCTGAAATTACATCCTGCCCCCTAAGGTTTGTATTTTCATAACAATTTGTTCCCTGAGGTTTAAATTTCATAACAAATTACCCCCTAATTTGTTATGTAAATATAGCATTCAGGGGAGAATTTGTAATTTTTCAAACCTCAGGGGTATTTGTAATTTAGCCAAACCTTAAGGGGTATATGTAATTTGCCCAAAAATAAACCATATTAAAAAGGGAGAATCGCAAAGAAAAGAAAATGATATCATTGTACAATTATTTTGAGATTATACCATTTGTTTGCAATTGTCTCCGCTACAAAACTTAAATATGATTAGCTTAAGGATAATGATAAATAATATGTAAGTGATATGATTGATTAATAATTAAAGTAAATATGAGAAAATATTTTTTTAAATATTTTAATTAATTGTCACATCATTAAACTTGAAAAAGTATATCTAATATTTTGAAAATAAAGTTTTTTTTTTTTTTCAATCTAAAAAGGACAAAATTAAAAAGAAAAGGACAAAAATTAGTAGGCAATATATATTGAAAAAGGATTGACAGTAACGTTGTGTTTGGTTGGAAAATTTGGAAAGGAAAAGGAAAAAAATATTTGAATGTAAATATATTTTATTTACATTTTACCTACCTTTTCTTTTTTTCCTTCCAAATTCTTTCCCAAATCTCCTAACCAAACACAACATAACAGAAATTTCTAACTATTTATTAAGAAAATTAAAAAATACAAAATTAGTAGGCAACATATACAGAGGATAGATAATCATTTCCATTTTGTTAGATATTTGTTTGGATTTTATATTTGCAGACAAATTTATGATTTAAATAAAAAATGATAAAAATTTCTACTCATTTCACCTTCTTTTTTTTTCTTTCTTTTTTTTTTCCAACACTTTTATATACAATACACCTAAATAAAACACAGAAGGACCTATGGAACACATGTGAGTCCCATAATAGTGTCCGAGTATTATATGATTCATTTTGTTAGTATTTTATGATTCGTTTCAATACTTTTTTTTTTTTTCTCTGTTACAAATTTAATATCCAGATAAGATCTATATTTGTTTGGAGTTGTGCTACTTATAAAAAAAAATTAAAAAATAAAATACATTTTTCATTGAATTGAATGCACTTTTACTTAAATCAATACACTTTTTAATAGTTTTACATATTTTTAAGACACTTTATATACATACTTTCCCAACATTAAACAATGCATAGAGAACACTTGCTAACATTTGCCATTTTTGTTAACTTTTTAAGAAATTAACATGTATTCTAAGGTTACATAAAAATGTATTTAATTATCTTAACTACTTTCACTTATATGGGAGAATATAAAAATAAATATGATGATTTTCAAAAGTTTAGATATTTTTCAACTACTTCCACTTGAATGGGAGAATATAAAAATAAATATGATGATTTTCAAAAGTTTAGATATTTTTCAACGTGGACGAAAATCTCCTTACATTTGAAATAACGAAATTAATCTATATATAAAGAAAATATAACAAAATAAAATGATAGTACCCCCTTCATTATAAGACAAAAACATTAATATTACTTTCTTTATTTGAAAGCTCATTTAACTCAAAACAATTCTTGAAATAGATTGTTAAATTTCACTAACAATTAGGTTTTAACCTATTAATTTTATAATATTATAACCAAATATAATATTACAATTAAAAAAAAATCAATTTATTCCAAAAAATAATAAACGAAATAAATAAAAATACTTTGGCTTATTTTGAGAAGATGGATAAAAAATACATATATATATAAAATAAAATATAAATATATTTTATTTTAATTTCACAATTCTTTTTTTCTTTTTAAATTTCTTTTCAAATCTGCAAACAAACGCATATACTCCCCCGTCCCAAAATATTAGTCTCTTATTTCATTTTTCATTGTCCCAAAATATTAGTATCTCTTCAAAAATCAAATACAAAAATAATATAAATTTCTTATTTTACCCTTCTTTCAAATTAATAAACAACATAAAAAGTACAATTATGCATTGATATTCTCAAAAAATGTATTATTAAAAAGATAATTTTGGAAAATCAACTTTTTTTCAAAGGAAAATGCTAGAGACCCCAAATTATCTATTTGATAAAATATTTAGTAGATTATTTGAAACCTCTAACATTACTCTTTTTCAAATTTGAAAATATAAAAAATACATATATATATAAAATAAAATATAAATATATTTTATTTTAATTTCACAATTCTTTTTTTCTTTTTAAATTTCTTTTCAAATCTGGAAACAAACGCATATACTAACATATTTCATAACAAATGTCCGCACATGTTAACAAAAGTGAATGACTAGATAAGTATCACCTCGAAAACACCAAATAATTTCTCCTCTGTACCCGCTATTTACCACGTCACTTGGGGTGTATTATCGCCGTGTAGATGTTATCTTGTTTCTCTCTCTCTCTCTCTCTCTCTACAATTATATATTTCCCTTTCTCTGTATATGGAAAATATAGTACATGTATTTATTACTCCTATTATATATAAATGCTTTATATAGGTACGAGTGGGCTATATATAGGCTTTACGATTTGAAGACGGCCTCTCTCTCTCTCATACTCAAACGTTCATCCCTTTGCTACATCTGCATACTCTCTTTCTTTCTCTCTCTAAAACCTCTCTCTGGCATTTTGTCTGTAAGACGCCATTTTGTCTCTCTCTGGTATGTTTCCCTCTTGTTTAGTCTCACTTCTCTCTATGTTTGTATGGATATGATTTGGGTTGATTTCTGGTTCTAGATCTTTCATTGTATGTTGGGGTTGGAAGACTGATTTTTGCATTTTCTAGTAAAAAGGTATTTAGATCGTACGTTACTGAGTGCTCTTCGAGTCTCCAAATCTCAAACCTACAGATTTTTTGTATTCAATCTTCTTCAGTTTTACAAAATTTTCGGGATTAATAGGCCTAAAAAGTGTGAAGATCGAACAACAACAATGGAAGAAGATTTTCTGAATTCATTCCTCTGTTTCAATTTCAATTCCAATTCCCTCGTGTGACTACATCCAGAGAATTTCTTTTTTTATTTTATTTTTGTAATGGCTTGTGATTTGTCTTTTCTTTCTTTTTTTATTTTTTTATCTTTTTTATATATAAAAAATTTGTTTTTTGCTTTGTTCTTCGTTACTGTTGCGATGATTTCAAAGCTTTTGTCGATGTTCTGCCCAAATTAAAGAGGTTTTTGCGTTATTGTCTTCATATGAAGCTCGATTTGTGAATCGACAAACATGTTTGGTTTTATCAAGACCATGCCTTTAGCTGCCATGTTTTTTCCCCTTCCAAATCATGATTTTAGTTTCTATCGGAATCTTTAATTCTAGAATTTCTTTCTTTGTTGGGTGTCGGACTTTTCACTCGAGAAAACATCCTTTTCTGTGTCTAAACACTTCATCCAAAAGCTCTTTTTTAAGTCTTCATATAACCCTGAAAGCACCTGAACCATCCTCTTTAATTTATGTCTTGCTGTTGCTTTTTTCTTTCATCCAAATTCAAGACTCTAATAGAGAATATTGGATTTTTGAGATTTCAATGAATAAATTGTGATGGATGAGTGTACAAAGTTTCATCATTGAATGCTCAACGATCTTGGACCACTCTTTTGAATCTAAATAGTTGACTGGAATATTAAATTTTGTCTTTTATTTATTTATTTTTTTTCCAGAATTTATGGAGTAAGTATGTAGTCCAATAATTAAGTACCCATGTTAGGAGTTGATGAAGGATTCAAATTTCACACTTGAATTGTATTTTGAGCTTCACTCAAGTGATAAAGACTTCTTTCTTTTTTCTTCTTCTTATTTATTTGTTTTTAATTTAATGTCCATAACTAAAATGATAAATGGAAATTCATGCATCTTTGTTATGTTTGATTTCTGTCAGTTTATGATTAACTTGATTTGGCATGAAATAAAGAATTGTTAAGCTATTCTATTAGGTGCCCTACTCTTTGAGATTTGAAGTGGGTTGGTAATTGGATGGGGGAGTTGAACAGATAAAGATTACAGATCTATGGTGAAGGATTTGTAGAAATTGCTTAGATGCTTTTGTTTCAGAATTTATGTCTAAACTTACCAAAATTGTGACATTCCAAAATTGTGACATGCTTTCTTAAAGAAAAAGAAAAAGAGAGAGAGAGAGAGAGGCTATGGTTTTTTATTACTTTGTATGCATAACAGACCAAAGAATCTCTATTCAGGATTTTCCAAAATTGTGATATGCTTTCTTAAAGAAAAAGAAAAAGAAAAATGAGTGGGGAGAGAGAGAGAGAGAGAGAGAGAGGCTATGGTTTTTTAAGTACTTTGTGTAATGAGGATTTTCCAAAATTGTGACATGCTTTCTTAAAGAAAAAGAAAAGGAGAGAGAGAGAGAGAGGCTATGGTTTTTTAATCCTTTGTATGCATAACAGACCAAAGAACCTCTAATCAGGATTTTCTAGTCTGTATGAATAGGTTGTTGAATTTTCCCCCTTCTATTTCTTTAAACCTTTTACGACAATTCTCATGGTGTATGATCCCGTAGTAGTAAAAGTATTATATAACTATTTACTTTGTGTCTTCTAATAATTTGTTCTAATAATTTGTTCTCAATCTTCTTATTCTCATAGTTGTTATCAGGCCAAACAATAGTAAACCTTTCAGGATGTGGACTTCGAAAAAATTAAACTGTCTTTTTAGCTATAAAAATTTCATAACTTGGAGTTATTGTCTTTGTTTGGTGGGGTTGGAAATTGGACGGTTTGGAAATGTTGGTTGATCTACAATAGCGGTATGCTTGATAGTCCAATGGCATATCAAATGAATCGATGGTATCTGGTTGTGGGGGGACCCAATCTACTAGTTGATGCATATACGCAACCTTTCATTATATTATTATTTATGTCTATACCTTCAGTTGGGTTGGAATCAAAATGGTGGGGCCTTCTTATAGACTAGGTTATCTAACAGTGATAGATCATGGATGTGCTGTAAAATAATTAATTTGAATCTAGAAGATGAAAAATCTTCAGTTTGTTTCTAATTTTTAATTTTTTTTGCTAGTCAAATTATGCGAATTTTCCTGGTGTATTATATTTTTCAGCTCTATTTGAGAAATTGTGAATACTAACCTTTTCTTTCTGGTATATGTCTACAGATCTCCGGCAACTAAGAAAGATACGCATTTTTTAGCACTCAAAATGGTTATGGAGCAGTATCTTCAAGAGGCTGAAGCACAAAATGAATCCGTTGAATATGGGGCTTCTGTAGAGAAGTGGAATTCTGTCTCAGCCACAGTTGATGAGTCTGAAGATAATCCTTCCATTGGTTTTGACTGCAACATTTGCCTAGACTCTGTGCAGGACCCAGTTGTCACGCTTTGCGGTCACCTCTATTGTTGGCCTTGCATTTACAAATGGATCCATTTCCAGAGTGTCTCTGCTGAAAACCCTGATCAGCAAAAACCACAATGCCCTGTATGCAAAGCCGAAGTTTCACAAAGATCCTTAGTCCCACTTTATGGCCGTGGCCAAACTGCGAAATCCTCTGAAACCAAATCCCCACATCTGGGTATAGTTGTACCACGAAGACCTCCTAGCCCTACTAGTTGCGGAGTCCACACACTGATAACAACTGCAGACACCACCAATTCTCATCCAGCACAGCAACTTCGTCATCGTAGGTCTCAGCCATATCACCTTCACTCTGGTGGCTATGCTGCCATGCCCATGCTCAGCCTAGATGGAACGCCGACAACGGATGTGATTCACCCGATGGTTGGCATGTTTGGGGAAATGGTTTATGCGAGGATTTTTGGGAACTCAGAAACTACTTCGTATGCTTATCCAAACTCTTATCACTTGGCAGGTAGCAATAGTCCGAGGGTGAGAAGGCACATAATGAAGGCCGAGAAGTCTCTCAGCAGAATTTGTTTTTTCCTCTGCTGTTGCATTGTTTTGTGCCTTCTTCTGTTCTAATTACCACCTCAGCTTGTTATTTCTTCCTGCCCATTGTACAGTCCTGTGAGAATTATGAATATCAATACATAGATCCGGCCAGGTGTGATAGATGTCAGAGCTTTTGCATCTATGTGCTGATATATATATATATATATTATATACACGAGTCTATTGAACTTATAACGGAGGTTGTAGTTAAAATTTTGAATGTAATTGAGCTTAGTTTGATTCCCTGCTCTATAACTTGTATCTGGTGTTTTTGAAAGAAAGTGGAAGTATGGATATAATGTGATATGTTTTAATGTTCTATCCTCTTGATTTTATGAGTTGATTCCCTAGAATTCACAAGTTCAGATTATCATGAAAATGTGGTGGTGATGGAAATGAAATGGTCTCGAAATATATGATGCCCAGTGGGTGGTCCTGCACTTTTTAGGTCTAGATCGATATGAATATCACTAGTTGGTGTAATAAAAGCACTTTGTTGCTGCTGATGGTAACTTGCGTAATAAGGTTGGAATCTTTCCAGGCCCTTTGTCCTAATCAAGATATGAACATTGTAAGTGGCATGTGTCCTTTTCATTTATAGATTAGGCCAAGGTAGTGGTGGACATGATGATGATAAAGGCGGTGGTGGAGATTAATCTTCCACGGAAGAGGTTGTTTTGTTTGTTTATGCGTCTGTCTGTCTCTAACAATCGACATTTTCGGCCAATAGGTATGGCAATTGTCCAAGAAGAGGTCACTTCTCAAATCGTCCTCCACCGATCGAAAAAGAAAAAAAAAATCAGCATAATTTTGATATATATATATATATATATATAATAAAAAAAAAAACTAAAGACGAGAGAACAAAAATAGAGGTGCCTTTTTTTAGGTGTTGCCAAACACCCTGCATTGGGATAAAAATTTGAATCAGAATTCCCTCCTTGATTTCTTACTTGTTGGTCATTGGGTCTATTTTTAGGCTCAATTTTGAATATTCAAACCGTTAATATTTTAAGATTTATTGAATATATTATACCTGTAAAAAATTAAGTTGAGCAGATATTAGAAAATATGTGTTTGAAAAATTATTTATTAAATTTAAAAAAAAAATAGTTTTTAGGTCGATGATATTCGATCAATTTGATTTTTTACAGGTATGATATACTCAATAAATCTTAAAATATGAATGGCTCGAATCATTGAAATTGAATCTAAAAGTGAATTCAATAACTTAGCAAGTAAGAAGTCAAAAAAGAAACTCAAAGAGAGGATCTTGATTCTAAAACTTTATCCTACCGAATTCTAAAAATTTATCCTACCGAATATGGATGGGACGACTCTTTCAGCCGAAAAGATGCTTCTGATCACCAAATTTCATTTCCTTGGATTAGATAAGATTGGATCATTAACCACGAGAGACAGAGAGAGAGACGAGAGATGATAATGGTGTTTGGACTAAAAACATTGAAATAAATCACAGGGTATACAATCATTGCCAACCAAACAGAGTTTTTAAGTTTCCTCCTTCAAAAGTCATGAATCCAACCACCCACAAACAACTGCCAAGACAGCAGAAGTCCTCCTAGAATACATGGGTTGGTTGTTGGTTGTTGGCCTACTTCAAGGTTAAGACTTGTCTCCAAGTAATGGTGCTCACTGCTCAGTATCATCAGTCAAAAAATAAAAAAGAAAATCATTCAATTTTACGTCATTAACATAGCAGGAGGATTCTACGGAATATTTAAAAGACGGAATTTTTACCAGAGCTTTGATGTATCATTTTGTTGAATCACATCACAACAATATGCATTTGAATCCTGAATAAGAGGAAAAAATAAAAAGAAAAAGGGTGTTCTGTTTTATATGTTTCCATATCTCACCTTCATTAAATATATTATACCAAATTGATTAATGAGAGTTGGGATTTGAAAGCAAGTGAGCTTCTTTACCCCCCTCAATGACTCATATCAAATGGCCTTTATTGTCCATATAAGTCGATCAAATGATGAAAAATTTTCATGATATTTTTTTTAATGATTCCTAGTATTATTTTTGCTAAAATTACTGGCCCGACATAGGCTACTTGATCTTCATACATATCTAAGGCACAAATGTACGTACTATTTTGTCAAACTACTCAAAGAAAATTACACTTCTAAACCAAATAGCTAAACCCCAAACGCTTGATGCTACAACATAATATTTTTCAATGCCTTCACTATCTGGCCTATCTGAAGTTTTCTGTATCATTCAACCGATGCATTTGTCTTCAATCCCATGCCTCCAAGTATTTCTCCCTCTGGGCCCTGATCTAGATCATCCCATCCATTCTTATCAAGTTCTTTGGATCCCGGGTTTCCATTTTTTTATATAATTTTCTAATCTGTCATATGTATCTGTAGAGAAATGACCGTGCTCCTCTAGTAAATTTCTAAACTCTGCAACTTCTGCATTTCCTTTCCCTTTCAAGTATTCCAAACATCCAGCAAAAGCGGAAAGGTCCGTTTTCTACCTGGAATTGGATAACTAGCCAGGATAGCTTTCTTCAAGGTGTCCACAGTCTTTTCCATATGGTTAAATTTATTATATCCAGCGGCCAAGCGTTCCCATGTGCCAGTATTCGGCTCCTTCCCACTCTCTATAATCCTTCCATTGGTTTTGACTGCAACATTTGCCTAGACTCTGTGCTGGACCCAGTTGTCACGCTTTGCGGTCACCTCTATTGTTCTTCTTGCATTTACAAATGGATCCATTTCCAGAGTGTCTCTGCTGAAAACCCTGATCAGCAAAAACCATAATGCCCAGTATGCAAAGCCGAAGTTTAGCAAAGATCCTTAGTCCCACTTTATGGCCGTGGCCAAACTGTGAAATCCTCTGAAATCAAAGCCTGACACCTGGGTATAGTTGTACCATGAAGACCTCCTAGCCCTACTAGTTGCGGAGTCCACACACAGGTAACAACTGCAAACACCACCAATTCTCATTCGGCACGGCAACTTCATCATCGTAGGTCTCAGCCATATTACCTTCACTCTGGTGGCTATGCTGCCAAGTCCATGCTCAGCCTAGGTGGAATGACGACAACCGACGTGATTCACCCGATGGTTGGCATGTTTGGGGAAATGGTTTATGCGAGGATTTTTGGGAACTCGGAAACTACTTCGTATGCTTATCCAAACTCTTATCACTTGGCATGTAGCAATAGTCCGAGGGTGAGAAGGCACATAATGAAGTCTGAGAAGTCTCTCAGCAGAGTTTGTTTTTCCCTCTGCTGTTGCACTGTTTTGTGCCTGCTGGTGTTCTAATTACTGTTGGAAATGGTTATTTTTCCTCAAGTTTGGTCTATTTTTTAGGTGGGCCCCGAGTGTCGATTTACTCGGGTCAAAGTGGTAACGCGTTCTATGCCGCGTTGTGATTCACGTGGTATATTTGGTTGCTCAAAACCATTACCGAGTGAATGGGAAATTGAAGCCAAAGTGTGCTCCATGAAAATGGAGTTTTGGTGGAAATTCCTTAAGGTTGTAAATTGGCTTGTCCCCCCTTGATTTGGTGGGGGGGTTTGAAAGGGGTTTTAAGGCTTAGGGTGAGATACTTGGGGTGTGCCCCAAGGGGTACCCAAGTGTTTTAGAGGGAGAGGTTATGGGCAAAATGGGCTAGACCCATTGGACCCAAAAATCACCACACACGCGCGCGCGCGCCGCCGCCGCCGTCCGTCCGGTCGGTCGGGCGGGCTGGGCTTGGTGTGTGGTGTGTGGTTGGGTTGGGCTTCTAATCTTTTTGGGCCAAAAACATTTGAATTTAATTTTATTTTTTATTAAAATAAAATCCATAATTCAAATTAAATTGGTTTGGATTATTTGTTCATCCAAACAGGGCCCTTCCCGGTTTCAAACAGAAATAAACTGTTTTGGAATTAATGCACACCCAAACAGGGCCCTTCCCGTTTTACTATCTGTTTGAATTCAAAACCCAACAGGTATGATACCTGTTCAATTCAAAACCAAGAGTTACATACCTGTTTAATTTAAATACAGTGAAGATTGCCCAACAATTACCACCTTACCTTGTTATTTCTTCCTGCCCATTGTACAGTCTTGTGAAAATTATGAATATCAATACATAGATCCGGCCAGGTGTGATAGATGTCAGAGCTTTTGCATTTATGTGCTGATATGCATATATATATATATATATGAGTCTATTGAACTTGTAACGGAGGTTGTAGTCAAAATTTTGAATGGAATTGAGGTCAGTTTGATTCCCTGCTCTATAACTTGTGTCTGATGTCTTTGAAAGAAAGTGGAAGCATAGATATAATGTGATATATCCTATGTTTTAATGTTCTATCTTGATTTTATGAGTTGATTCCCTAGACTTCACAAGTTAAGATAATCATGAAAATTTGGTGGTGATGGAAATGGGATGATCTCGAAATAGATGATGCCTAGTGGGTGGTCCTGCGCTTTTTAGGCATAGATCAATATGAACATCACGAGTTGTTGCGTGATAAAACCACTCGTTGCTGTTGATAACTTCTTACCTCGGCTAGAGATTTGATATTCAAGCTCTGTGGCCTAGGGAAGTTAATAGAAGGGTTGAATAAGGTTGGAATCTTTGCAGGCCCTTTGTCCTATTCAAGACATGAACACTGCAAGTGGCATGTGTACTTTTCAATTAGATTAGAAACTGGTGGTGGATTCCATGGTGGTGGTGGGCATGATGATGATGATGATGGTGATTGTGATGGCAGTGGCGGAGTTTAATCTTCCACGGAAGAGGTCGTTTTTGTTTGGCTTACGCATCTAACAATTGACATTTCTCGCCAATAGGTATGGCAAGTGGGCAAGAAGAGGTCACATATCAAGTCGTGCTAGAGCTGTTGTCCTCTTCTTCTCATCAATTTTCTATTGTCCAAAGCGTTGATCAGTTTCTCAGGTAGATGTATATGTTCATGTCATATGTAGTAATACCATGATTACTGACATGGGTAAATCCATAAAGGCTATAGCTCACTATGAACAATCCAAACCTATCACTTAGGGCTCAATACATAATCCAATTAATGAAGCCCAGCACCGCTGAAGCCTCACATAGTAATAAGAACCAATGGCATCAACACACATGGCAAGAGAAGGGCAAGCCATATCAGCAGACAAAGATCTATAAAGTTATTGCTACGCCACATCGCCATTAATGAGGCTCCTTACAGCATTTATTGCGATAACCCCTTTCTGTCGGGACAACACGGCTTCACCTTGAACAAGGTAAACTACAGCATAGACTTTCGGCTAAGGTGACAGGTCGGAAGAGACAACGAAATGATTACCAAAGGATATAAGCAGACGTTGAAGATAAGAAGAAGGTTAAGCTTTCTATCTCTAATCTCGCTATATACTCCACTCCTCTTTCTAACTTGCTCGTTGGAGGGTTAGCTAGGGGACTCCCTGTTTCCCGCTGAACTCGTGTGCAGGTCTTCCGGTGGTCTTGGTCATTCGAATATAGGCGTGAGGAGCGTGGATCAGTCCGACCCGGTTCATTGGAACGAACTGTATCATCAATTACAACTTCTTCACCACTGCATTGGTTGTTAGCTTGTAGTTGTATATGCTATATGTATATATATATCCCAAGCTGGCTGTGAATGCAGTAACTTGAGATTTTGTTTATTTTTACCTTATGGTTTCTGTGTTTCTGTTGGTAAAAATTTAGTTCAAGCCTAATCGACAATGATTTGATCGATAGACTTAAATCAATCTTTAAGTAAATACAAATAAAAATTAGACTCTGTCGTTAAGTTCTATACTTTAAATAGGTTATAGACTTTCCTGAATAATTAGACAAAGAAGAGATAGAATAGAAAAAAATATGCATTAATTCAAATGAATTGTCACTTGTTGCTAGTTATAAGAACTTAAACAAGAATAAAAGATTAAAGAAATACAACAATCGACAGAAGAGAAGTGGGAGTTGGAAAAATCTACTAGTTTTAATCAACTCTCAAAATGTTAAGTTAAACTACTCCTAAATAGACTATTTGTGAGTGTTTTTGATAATTGAGATGTTTTTTTTCATTCTTCAAGTCCTCATTTTATACTTGTTTGGCCACCTTATGTTGTAGCTATCTATCTATGATCCACCTTATTTAACATATGGTTTCTAATTGATTTTAACAAATATCTTTATTGACTTTATTTAATCTTTTCAAGTCACATCATCATCTTTTCCATGCCACGTTACTAGCATACTTGCCACGCCATGTCAGTATACCTGTCGATAGAAATAATAAAAACAAATACTGTCAAGGTTATTCTTTGAAAATAGTTTATAATTTCAATCGAGAGACCATAATTGAACTTGACCATAACTAATAGGCCACAATCAACAGAAAAATAAATATGGTGCAAACAATTTCATAAGAATAATGTCGGCAAGAGAAGCAGATCTCTTGTCTACAAGCTCTAGAGTTTGTGCTCATGAAAGATCTTTGCTTCTTGCAAACAAACATGTTGCCCTGCATAGGTAGCCAAGTGATTAAGAGACATATTCTGGATCCAGTTGTAAATTAGGTTTTTTAAGGTTTGGCTCGTGTCTTGCGAGTGATTCCAACACGACACGTTAAATTGATACAGAAAATCCACTTAATAGAGAATTTGTTATTTTAATGTTATTTTTATTTTAGAGTGTCGTCACATGTTTGAATCTGGTATGGAACACATCCATCTTAACAAAAAAAATATATATATATGTAAAATAAAATTTTGCGATCAATAGTCCCTTTTTTTTTATTATTATTATTTGAAATTGTTTACTATTCTGGAATCAATTTAAAAAAAATAAAATTAATTAAATAATAGGGTTTATGATTTTGAAATTGGAAAAAATTGAATTGAATTGAAATTAAATATTTTATATTTTTATGAATAATTATCCCTAAATTCTATGTGAAGAAAAGTTAAACCATTTAGTCCTTTAAGTTTTTCTGTATACCATTTAGTCCTATTTTATTGGCAAATTTTTGGGGATGTGATTTAATTCCATTTGTTTTTACTTCTATACCCTTTCCATGTTTGTTTCCTTCAACATTCCACTGGTTTCCGTAATGTTAACCTATCGTGGGGAATTGATTACCATTGTTTTTCATTGTTATTGGGAGTCAGAATATTGTGAGTGTCATTTTCACCGGTCAATACCCTTTGCATGATTACTCCCTTAAACATTTGATTATGTTTTGTATTGGGTTAGGTAATGTTAATGGTTTGTGGGGATTTTTTATTTATGAACATTATTTTTCACCATTTCTGTAATCTGTCAGAAGACGGCGACCACCATGTTCATTGATTGGCATTGTTTTCACTGTTTTGTTATTGATTTACATTTGGTTCACCGACCCAGGTATCGATTTGAAGCCGTGGCTCAGAGTTTGAGCATTTTTTGATTTCGATTTTGGTTTGATGGAAATTGAAATTCTTTGTTTAGGGTTTTGAGTTGTGAGCCCTACAAGTAATGGAAATAGAAATGGTGCTGTTGAGAAGAGAGAGAGAGAGAGAGAGAGAGAGAGAGAGCATAAGGGGAGCTGAAGATGGTGATAAAAAGGAATAAGGATATCCACCACATAAATTATCTTGAATTCTTTTCATAATTCTCAAAACCCATGTACTCAACTTCATACAATTTCCAAATCCTCATCTATCATGCATGCATGTCAATTCTTGGTTTCATCTCTATTTCAAATGATAGAAATGACACTTGTAATCATGAAACTCATGAAAATTATGTATGCATGTGAGATTTGGTGCTCAATTCCTCTTGTTCAACAAGATTCATGTTTGAATGTATAAAATCATGGCAATTATGCACATGCATGTACATACAAGCACCAAATTCATCAATTTCAACTCAAATTATGTTCTTGGTGGCCATCTAACTTGAATTCACAAAATTACAACCTCAAACTTATGAATTCATAACCAATTACTCACCTAAAAGCTCAAATCTTTTAAGTTATGGTTAATTCTTGAGTTAATGTTCGCTTTGTCGATAACGGTGAATTCAATTTATCAGTGTGCAATTGAAAATGGAAAGGGAATATATTAGTAAATAAATTAATATAAATATTGTAGCTTCCCTTTTGGGACATTGCCAAGAAAGAACTTTCAACTACAACACCTAACATTACGCCATTAACGTCGGCATACTGTGCACATTTCCATCCACGTCTCTTCAGTTCCGATCTGCTAGGTGGGAAAACAAACATCAACAGATTAAGGACTTTGGATATTTTAGTAAAATCCACATTGGAGTATTCCTCAATTACCCTTACTAGAAGGTGGTCAACAGAGTCAAACACGGATAATGTTGTCACTAGATTGGGACTAATTGAATTATAAGATAAAAAATAGAATCAAATAAATCAGAAGATAAGAATTTGAGATTTATTGGTGCATGTCCTAAATTTTAACCAAGTAATATTTTTATATTTTTATTGAATTGACTTGTGTTGTGGTATAGTATAAAATGAACCCCCCACCCCCAAAAAAAAAAAAAAAATTTGTACTATTCAAATGTAATATATTTACTGTGTGATTTTAAAAAGAAAGGGAATGTTTTCTTTCCTGTCATTGTCCTTTGAAATTAAACCGATTTGAAATTAAACCTATTTTTCGTTAACCTTTTGGCATGATGATGTTGAGAGTGGCATAATTATAAATGCATTATAGTTTCTTCATTTTCATTTTGGTTTCAGTTTGAGATTGGAATTAAATTGTTGTCATTGTGCTGGGAAGTAATATTTTCCTGTCATTGTCCTTTGAATGTTGCAAACATATTGATTTCTCGATGTGTTCGAATTCTTCTTTCCTTAAATTCTTCAGTTCAAGTTTCTAGCGTATTTAAATTTTGTCCTTTAACTTTTTCATTTAATTGTTTCTTGAATTCTTCTTTCTTTCATAGAGGAGATATTATATAACTTTTTCTTCATTGTCATTGCAATATACAATTGTTACTAATAGAATTTCCTCGATGGGTTTGAATCATTAATTTGTGAAATTCCTCGCTCCTCTTTCTTTGTTGATTTCATTATTTTTACCAGTTACCAAACAGAAATTTTTGACTCTAGAGCAGGAACTGAACTAATTCTCACCAAGGTAATCTCTTTCTCCTTCTCTTTTAGCTCTGTTTTGTTACCCACAAAAGGTCCAAAATAAAAACATTTGAATTCTTGGAACTCTAGAAAAATGAAAATCTCAACATCATTTTGATAGGTAAGAAAACCCACCATTTTGATAGAAATTTGTTAGAAACTTTTTTTTTATTCTACAAGTCACTGCCTCACTTCTTAGGGGTTTGTTTGGTTGCTCACTTCTAATTCTGAATAATCTGAACTGCAAATCCCAAATCTGCTTAAGTATTTGGTTGTAATCTTTGTTTAAAAAAATAGTACAGTTAATTTTATTTAATGAACCTTGGGTTTAATTTTAGTTAGATTTGCCATTAACTATTTGAATATCTACAGTTCCTAATTAAAAGAAAAATTTCAGAGCCTTGGCATTTTAACATTTATGTGTAATATGGCAAGAGAGTTTATGTTTTTTTGGCACCTTTTTAAGGGAGTATAATATTCTATGTTGTATTTCAAAAAATTTCGGTGAATGTATATGTGTGTGTATTACTTTAATTTCCTTCATGAAATAATTATTTATTATTGCTTATAAAATGGCTTTGTTATCTGGTGAATTTTATTTTTTTTGGCATAAATTTATGTTTGGACTTTCCAAGTGATAAATGGTGAACTTCAAAATATTTATGATTATAATGAGTTTTGATTTTGGTTTTAATTTCATCTCTACAAAATTGAAGTCAGTTAGGATACATAAGAGTTCAAATTTGGACAATTGTTGTGTTTCGATTTTAATTTATTATTTTAATGTGATTGTTAAAATACATCTATTCTAAATTAGTCTATGAGGGAAGTGATTGTTTGTTTGGAGCTATTAAAAAGAAAACAAGGGTGATTTGTTTAGCTGATCTTTTAACATTTTATTATTAAAAAAAAATTGTACCATTCAAATGTAATATATTTGCTGTGTGATTCTAATGTACATATGATAAATATTTTTCATATAATTTTTTTTGAATATCTAGAGTTCCTAATTAAAAGAAAAATTTGAAAGAC